CACCAGTCGGTCCGGCTACCGATCGCATGGACATTGACCTGAAGCGACCTGCGGAGGAGTATGCCGATGCTGCAGATGATGCTGATGCCGATGATACCAGTGATCGAGCCGCTGCTCAGGAGTGAGTTCGGGAGTCTTCTTCAGAGGCATCTCTGCCTGAGTCTCCAGTTCCCACTCTCGGATTCGGAGCACGCTTGCAGACACTAGAGGAGGACGTAGCAGCCATGCGAGCCGACATCACTGCCCACCGAGCTAAGTTCACCTCTTTCAGGGCGGATGTCATGGCTTGCTTTGCCGATCTCTCCAGCCGACTCCCTGCGCCTGCACCCGCACCTGCACCTCCAGCCACTGCAGATCTTCACGATCAGGCCTCCCGAGACTCCACTTCCAGTTGTTTTATGCTTTCATTTCTTTTATTCTGGATCTGTATTATACTGTCACTGTTACTGTATTATACCTTGCGGCAGGTCTGTCGGCTTTATTATTTTATTGATGTACCTGCATTTTATATTCTCTATATATTGCTTTTTGATTATGGATGTCTCTTAGTATCTCATATTTGTATGTTTGACTCCATCAGGTACACCACAGTGACTTCAGTGAGAGAGTGCTGCCTAATTTTTTAGGACCACTCTTACACCTCTCTCTCTATTCTCTATTTATCCCATCTTACACTTGCATGTCCACTGTGCACTGATTATCCTATCTTGTTATCTAATGAGTTTATCCGAGTGCAAACTTTTTAGGACCACAGTTTATCCCAAGTTTGGGGGGGCCATGCCACCCACTTTGGATACTTCTATCCCGATCATTCATGTCTAAAGCACTGGTATACTCTTTCATTTGTTCTCTTCACACATTGAGGACAATGTGCAGTTTAAGTTTGGGGGTATTGGTGTATGTTTCAGTGTTACTTTAAAATTCAAATTTTGAGCATGTTTTGTGTATTTGAGGGATATTTCTATACTTGGTCCATTTCTAGCTATGATTTTGATCTTTTGAGGACTATATTGCTTAAATTTAAAAATTGCTTGACTTGAGAGTCCAATACTCCTTGTATGCCTTGAGGATGCCATTTAGGAGTAAATTTTTCAAAAGATTGATATCTTGCTTGCATTTGTGGTCCACATCATCCTGATTTTGTGATTGTTTTGAGATTCATTCTAGGATTCTACACTAGCACTGGCGCACGCTAGCATTCAATTGTGGGGTACATGTTTTGTTGATTATTGAATTGGTTATATCCCAATTGGGCTAGTAGTGCATTGAAAGCTTTCATTCTCGATAAAGGTGGATAACAACCCCTTTTCATTGAGTAGCCAGGATTCTTGCCTCATTAAGTAGTGAACTTCTCGCGCCGAAAGATGGAGGGCCCAAACTCTAGGTTAATAATTGAATTGAAAAAAAAAAAAAAAAAAAAAAAAAAAAAAGAAGTTGCAAAAAGCAATAAAAGTGAGGACTTCTCCCAAAAGGTGAGAAGTGGGAAATGATTAGATGGTTGTTGTCTTAATTTGTAGCCTAGTTGATTTGAGTTTGTAAGTCCGTAGGGGTGTCTTAACACCTAATGCCCTAAAGCCATCTGGTTTGGGAGTCATTAACCTAAAGCTCGCTACATGAATCTTCTAGAAAGCTTAAGAGATCAACACATTGCACAATACTTCCATCTTTGATCCTCAATAAAAAAAAAAAAAAAAGAAATAGAGTGAAAAGAATAAGCGCACCTAGAACAATAAAGCTTTAATAAAAGGTCCACTCTCTTATCTTGATGATCGGTACTAGATTTGTGTGCTAGTTTGAGGGTAAGGATGTGATTACTTCTCTAGTTAGCTAAGATAGCAACACACTTGATGCCGGACCTCTCACATGGATTCTAGACTTGTTTTGATTTTCATGATCATTTTCTTGATGTGTGGAGGACCGTGCTTGCTTGCTTGATATTAAAATTTTGGGAGATTGCTTAGAAACGGTTGAAAAATTGCATACTTAAGGTAGTTTTCTCCCAATGCTTGTTTGCAATATTGGTGCCTCTTTTGAAAAAATGAGCTTAATGTTTGTGGGTACCATTTCTGGAAACCCTCACGAGACTTTACTCGTCCACTAGGGGTAACCTAGGGGTTTAAAAGGCTTGTTGCATATGCTAAATGCAATCGTGTTCCCTACGAAAATGGCGCTATCATTTTACTTGCTTTCCAGTTTATACTTGTTTAGTTGTTCATTTCATTCTTTGACTTCTTAGTTCATTGCTAGGGACTAACAATATTTAAGTTTGGGGGTATGATGAGCACTGAAAAGTGCGCATTTAAATCCGTTAAGCTTAAGCATTCTAGTACCTTTATCTATCTTACTTTGCCGTTTTAGACTTATTACGTGTTATTTATATTTTCAAGCACTAATCCCAAAATTGAGCTAACTCAGCCAAATAAGAGCTTAATTGAAGCAATCCTGAGATAAACCAAAGGAGGGAGCAAAGTGGAGAAAGCAAGGAGCAAAAAGGAATCAAAGTTGTGCAGCTGAAAAGTTCGATCGATCCAACTTAGAGTTCGATCGATCGAACATCTATGATCGATCATAGTACTTCTCGATAGATCCAACCTTGGCCTTTGCTGAAATTCCAAGTTCGATCGATCCAACATCACCTTCGATCGATCGAACCCTATTTTGTCTTATTCAAATGATTGATCTTATCCACAGCTGTACGCCTACCAACCACTTTTGTCCTTTTCCCCATAAATATCTTCGAAATATCTCAGCTTTATCCTTATCCGGAGGAGTCAGACCACTTCGATCGATCCAAGATGCAGTTCGATCGATCGAACCCATCTTCGATCGATCCAAGTTAAAGTTCGATCGATCGAACTTCCTCCAGCGAGAAAAAGTTAAAGTCCAGCTCATTTATTCCGTCCTTCACCCAATCATTGGAGAATATGCCTTGCACGACCACAGCTCATCATAGGGTGTATTTGACCTACCTATATAAGGAATATGATACACTTTTTGAAGGGGAGCCTAGAGTCTCTTGTCACACATTGAAAATCATCTTGGAGGCTATTCTTGGAGAGGAAGAAGGGAGGAAGCTAGAGCAACCATTGGAGGAGATCTTCATCTACAAGGAGCAGCCATGGAGTTAGCCCTTGAGGGTTGGATCATCACTACCATGAGTGGCTAGATATCTTCTTAGGGCTAGAGTTAGCCCCAAGCATGTTTTCTATACTCTAATCTTGTGTATTATTGAGGGATTAGTGTTGTATGATACATCTTGATATTCATGTATATATAAATCTTGATTATTTCATGGTTTGTATGGTTTAATGCTTCCAATTGACTATTCTATTCTACCCATATGTCTATGTATGCTAGAGTAGGATATTCATGTGCTTATCTCTAGATTTAGTGTTTTTGATGCATGTCTATGTGTATTGATGCTATAGATCTAGAGATGATCAAGATGATATGCTTAATGAATGCTATTTTGGTTCATTTGATGGTTTATGCCTATTCTTGATGGTTTGTGCCTCTCCCCTAGTCTAGATAGCTTTATTTTCATGTTAGTAGTGTAGATTTAGTGTAGTGGTAGTATAATGTTAGATGGGAGGACAATCTACTCTTGATGTTTGATGTTCCATGCTTGTGAGTCCAAATGGCATATTCCTCTAATATTGTGTTGCATGTGGATTGTGAGCTTAATGTAGGATTAATGACTTGTTTTGATCTATTGTGCTATCCCCATGTTGTCTAAACAATATATGCTCTATTGCTTAGATATATTGTGCTCTTCACATGATGTTTAGACAATACTTGCTTGATTTGTCATCCTTGCCAATTGAATCAACCTAATGCACACACACCCCTTATCATATTGCAACACATCCATTACCCTCAATTGATCACTTGTTAGTAGTATAGAAAAGTATTGCTTGGTGGTGATTTCTACACCCCAAGACCTCTCTCTCTCTTGTTTACCTCATATTATTTTATTTAGTTGAATTCAATTTAGCTTAATCAACCAACCAACCAATTGTGTGATCACTTGACCTACTAACCCTAATTACCATAGTTTCACAATTCGATACACCATCAAATCCCTTGGGACGATCCCTACTCGCCCTATCTATATTTTATATAGAGAAAGGTAGTAGTGGCTTTTTATAAATATAAAACTTGGCCACCTCCTAAACACACACAACTCTTCAAGCTTGACTTGGTATCGCGACCCTTGTAAAGGACCGGTCAATGGCAAAAAAACAAAATATGTTTATACTAAAAGGCACATATAATTTATATTTCTATATTTTGCAAAACTTCAGGTTTGTAAGGATACTCAGTATAAATGACTTCAGGTTAAAGAATTTTAGATTCATTTGGACTTTAGGCCAACAAATTTTGCAAAACTTCGGGTTCACAAATAGTACCAAATATTTGTGAAACTTCAGGCTCACAAATAGTATATTAATATATGCAAAACTTCGAGTTTGCAAATTAAATAATTTAGTATTTGCGAGACATCGGGCTCAGCAATTTAATTAGCTGTAAAGTTTGAATAACAACAGTTTAATATAAATAATTATTTTTCTTACCCTTTGAAATGTCAGTTGACAGAATCTCGTGCTGATAACGTGTAATGAATATATATATATATATATAGAGTAATATTATAAATAAATCTTTCATAGAGAAAGAGAGAGAGAGAGAATGGAAAGTTTTTCATTCAAGTGTGTCCCAGAGCAATATATACACATGGCCTATTATAGGCTCAAAATTGTAACGTCCCAAACAAGCCATAATAAGGCTTTCACTATAAGAAAGAATTGAGCTTTCTCCGTAAGCTAACAATGTCATCGCGAATGATTTAAGATTGTGGGTCCCACAAACATATATATATATATATATATATATATATATATATAACAATATTTATATTATAAAAAAGGAAAAGAAAAAACTTATGAGAAGGATTTTTTTTTTCTTTTTTCGGCTCTCTCCCTCGCCTGTGTTTGTTTATATTCTCTCTCATGTGGGCGCAAATCCTCTGAAGTAAATTGCGGTGCGGTCCCCTGCGGTGCGGCCCTTAAGGCGCGTTTGGCTTGAAATAAAACAAATTAAGTCAAACAGTGTTAACCCCAGTTATATGTATTTAATACTATATACCCGGTTATCCCCAGCTGTATTATACTACATACTCCAAGTTAAAATATATACTATAAACCTCCAAATTCTCACACGGCTATCCTGCAGCACCAAAGTACCAGAAACAAAATTTTGATTAGGGGTTTCATCTTCAAAGATCGATCTTTGTGAGTTAGGGTTTCTTAAGCCAAGAAGATGTGGACTAGGTATGCTTCAAGAGAACAATATCAACTCTCACTCCAAGCCCTAACTCTAACTCGATAGCAGGATATCTCAAAAACAATCACAAATCAAGCCCTGAATCCGTCGAAGCAGAGTGAATCAAAAAAGCTTGGGTAAGACTCCTAACTCTTTTTTGATCTTCATGTTTATCTCTCTTTGGTTGGTACCCCATTTTGATGGTTCGAATAAAAAATAATAAAATTCAAAATCCAAAACCTAAAGGGGGTTTCATCTTCCACCGCAAAATTAAAACCCAACCTCTCTATGTTTTCTTAGCTAGCTATATATATATATACACACATCCATACATTTGTTGCTCCATCTCTTGTTTGAAGAGATGAAGTCTCCGATATCGGTGGCCATGGTAGGGTGTAGCGCGAGAAAGATTGTGTATGTGCATAGTCAAATACTAAGAATAAGAGAGGAAGATTCGCACATCGATAGGGTTTGAGCACCAAAGATAAGCTCTCTGGTGACGGTGTAACCATCAATCTGATCTCTATTTCTCTGGTAGCTAAGTGGTATTGAAAAAAAATTAGGGTTGGGATTTTATCGTTGGTTTTCAATAGTGGACCTGTCAATTTTGAATTTTAAAATTCTTTTAATTGATTATTATGCAAGTATGAATAGGTTTTGTATGATTGAAATGATTTTATCGTTGGTTTTCAATAGTGAACCTGTCAATTTTGAATTTTAAAATTCTTTTGATTGATTATTATGCAAGTGTGAATGGGTTTTGTATGATTGAAATTGGGTTTTGCTTTGATTGCTTTTTTATTTTTTATTTTTTTACTATTGTTTGGCTTCGAATTCGTTACATATTTCAGTTTTATTTGGACCATGGATTGTTGTATGGTAAGGTTTGGGATGGAGTGATAATGGTTTTTTCCTCAATTGTTGTCTTCAATGTTTCTAATTTAACAATTTATTGTTCATGCATGTTTGGGGCTTTGGGCTAGATTTTCATGAGTAATTTTTGATATTCCCTAATTATGTTTTCAAGTTAGGATTTTTAATGATCCATGGTTTCATGGAAGGTCTTTTGTGGAAACCTTTGGGTAGTATAGAATGCTTAGAGGTATTGATTTACAAAGAAATCAAATAATTGAAGACTTATTGTAAAATGGTCAGTGGAATTTCTCTCCTGGCCGGTAGAGATTTTAGCATATCTTTCCAAATTCAGAGATCATTTAATGGAGGATTCTGTGGTATGGAAGTATGGGAATTTCAATTTCAAGGCAACGTGGAATTTGTGCAGAGATTTGGGTACTAGAGTTGAATTTGGTGTGGAATTGATGCTGACCTAAAGTACGAGTAGCTTCTATACTGGTTACACACAATGCTATTCCTTCATTTTGCAATTTAAAAAGAGTGGTTTAGTCTTTCTTTTTATGTCTTGGAGTAAATGAATTTATGGGCTTAATTATGTGAATGGTTTCCTAAATAGTATGCTATAAATTTATTTTTAGGTGTTCCAATTGTTATTTGGTGTCAGACTTAACATAAAATATTTGTAGTTTTTGCACAATCTATTACAGTATATTCCAACATGAATGATATTGTATACATTAATGATTTTGAATATTTAAGCAAAGGATGTGGGTAAATTCGTTTATAGGTGGTTTAAGTGAGTTGTTCCGTAAGATTGAGCGAAAAATACTATTTTTTTCATTGTTCTTGTAATTTTAATTTCTTTGTGGAAGTTATAAAGGTTATTCAATTGTGTGGATGACATCCCCTATCTCATTTATGATCTTATTTTTAAATTAAAATTTAAGAATTTCTTCTGCATTTAATTTTGATTATTTAGAGCACATTAAATTGTATTGAGTACCTCCACTTGTTTATCGTTCAATTTATTATTTACAACGGCTTGACCTCAGATAGTTTATTCTGTAAATTAGGCATCCTTCTCATTTAAAGGTCGTCAATTGTTTGTATATGGCAGACATGAGCTTAAAATGTGTCTAGTTTTTTAGTTTTCTATTTTTAATTTTGGGTATAGAGTAAATGATTATTAGGATTATAATTGAACGTTTGGAATGAGGATATCGAATATATAAATAGATGTATTGATATAGATATATGTGTTTGCAGGTGGTCCAAGTGTTCATTAGTATAAGATTAAGCTAATAATTTTTATTTACATTGTTAGTTTTTAGTAAATGAAAGTAATTTTTTTCCTCTCCACTTTCTTTGTTGTGTCAACTTGCGTTGGCAGACTTTTTTCTAGGCATATTGTTTGGCAAAACTTGAGGAGGCTTTGCATGGTTTGTGACTAATTCAAAAGAATCACAAAGGGGAGTAAAGTTCATAAGATGGTACTGTGATTATTTGGAATATCTGAAGGGAGAGTAATCTTAGATTACATGAGGATCAAACAAGGTCTGCTAGCTACTTTTGTATATTTAGAAGCACTACTCTGTATGGGGCTTGAGGATATGGAGTTGCTTTGAATTTCTTAATTCTGTTATATTTATCCTTTTGGTTAGTTTTTTTAAAAATACTGGTAGTTTATGTTTTGTAAAATTTTTCTTAGCTCTGTTTTTTGCTGTATTTTTTTGTATCAATAAAACCCACCAGATTCAAAGGGGAAAAAAAAAGTTAGAATTTTGTATGTTGTCTAAAGTTAGTCCAAACAACTAACCTTGAAAATAAAATCATAGGTTTGAATTTGAGAATAATAACTTTATGAAAATCATGGTTTTAAGGTTGAAAAAACAATACACATTTTATGAAAATCAATATTTTGAGTTAAAAATTGTGACTCATTGTATTCTAGCAATATTTCATTCTATGAAAACTTACACGAAGAAGCAAAGGGTCGAAAATATGTATTATATGAAATCAATAAGGTGTGACATTCAAAGATTGAATACATTGCAAGGTTTTCTATGTTCTTTCACCTCCTTATTGTTAACAAGTGATATTGATATTTAGGATAAATAATATGTTGAATTAAGTTAAATTTATGTGTGACATTAGTTAGTTGACACTATGTAAATATGTTTTAAGGGTGAAGGTATTGAGTGAGCAAATTATCAAGTTCTTTTCAATAACATAGTGGTATGAAAGTAATATGAACTTTGTCGAAGAACTTCATGGTTCACTTGTCCCAAACTAAATGTATGATTTTTTTAATACTTGGAATAACAAAAAGGCCTTCGCTCTTTTCATTATTTTGAGAAACGTTGAGTATTTTGTTTGTTGTGTAATACATGTGTGAAGTGATATACTAAAAATTGTGCAAAAATACTATAATAGAAGCGAAAGTTTGTAAAAGCAATTCATATTCTTCAATTAAAACAATCGTTGTCGAGATCGATAATTCATCGCGGTGATTCTTTCCCATAAGGATTAAATTTATTTAGTACAAATGTAAATCATTTGGATTGGAAACTTGTTATACGAGAACTATTTCAATAAAACTATTCAAAAGTCCTTGTGTGTGCATAAGAATACAAATATTAAAATTTGTGAAGTAATATATTGAAACTTGTGCAAAAGTGCTAAAATTCAGGTGAAATTTTGTAAAAGCATTTGTTATTGTTCATTTAGAATTGCCGAGATCGATGATTCATCTCTTTAATCCATGTAGGTAAGGGTAAATATAATTTATGATGGAGATTTGTCATGTGAAAACTATTGGAATAAAATTAAAAGATATTTGTAAAGATGCATAAGAACACAAAATATAATGAATTGTGAAGTAACATATAAAAAATTGTGCCAAAGTACTATGATACGGAAGAAAGTTTGCAAAATTATTTCATATTCTCCATTTAAAACAACCATTGTCGAGATTGATGATTCATCACGATGATTCTTATAGGAAAGGATAAAATTTATTTAGTACAAATAGAAATAATTTGGATTGGAAACTTGTTACATTAAAACCATTATGTTATCAAAAAAAACTTGGCAAAGTTTTTCATGGATTGGGTTATATTTTCCAATTTCGTGGATTGCAATGATATTCACGTGATACTTGGTATTAAGAATTTTATGTAAAGTTTTTGACACAAAGGACATGGGTATACAAAGTATGTCCTTGACATTAGGATCCATAGAGATCACGCTACTGACATACTTGGACTTTCTCTAAAAGAACTTATGTTTATGAAAAATTAAAGGGTGACTAAGCGTAATAAGCACATAGACATAAAGTACATTTTCAAGCGTGAGAAGGTTAAGATTTTTAGGATGTATTTTTTAATGGTAAAATTTAACTTCGAATAATAACATAAATAATATGTTGAATTAAGTTAAATTTATATATGACGTTAGTTATTCGGCACGATGTGAATACCTTTTTTTGACGGTGAAGATGATAAGTGAGCAAATGGCAATTAATATCAAACTCTTCTTTTGACGATGAAGGTGGTAAGTGAGCAAACGTATAGGTAGTGAGTGAACAAACATATTAATATCAATTTCGGCAGGGGAACTTGTGCCACAACGCACCACCACTAGTTGGCGTGTGTGCATAGATTACCAGAAACTAAACTCTGCAACTAGGATCATTTTCCACTTCCATTCATTGAAAAAATCCTAAAAATGTTACATCTTTTCTTTTTTCTTTTTTCCAAAAATAATGAAAAGAGCCACATCTTTTCTTTTCTTTTTTTCTTCCAAATATTAAAAAAACATACACTTAGGTATAAATTATTTAACATATCTTTGAATTTTTTTAGCAAAGTTTACAAATGGTGATGTTACTTTTTAGACTCCTGTAATGTTACTTATAAATGGTGGCGAAATATTACTTATAACAAAATAGATCATCTTCACCCTCAAAATAAGGTATGCACATAATACAAATTAAGTAATGTCACATACAAACGTAACTCAATTCAACATATCATATATATTATAATTTGAAATTAAAGTATTTTAAAAACATATTAAATATTGTGCAAAAGTATTATGATACGGGTGAAAGTTTGCAAAATTATTTCATATTCTCCATTTAGAATAACCGTTATCGAGATTGATAATTCATCATGGTGATTCTTATAGGAAAGTATAAAATTTATTTAGTACAAATGAAAATAATTTTGATTAGAAACTTGTTACATGAAAACCGTTGTGTTATCAAAATAAACCTGGCAAAGTTTGTTATTAATTGCCATTTGCTCACTCACCAACTTCACCATCAAAACAAGGTATTCATATAGTGCCGAATAATTAATGTCACACATAAATGTAACTCAATTTAACATATTATTTATGTTGTTATTTGAAGTTATATTTTACTTCAAAAAAATAGAGCATCCTAAAAATTACCTTCACATGTTAATTTAAAGAGCTCCATCCCAAAGTTAGTCACTGGGCTAACTTCAGAAAACAAACAAAATATTCGACATTTTCCAAAATAATGAAAAGAGTCGCAACCCCCTTTTTTTTTTTTTTTTTCAAGAATTAAAAATGCATACATTTAGTTACTCTCTAAAAGTGAACCATGTAGGGTTTTCTTCTATAATCTTCAATAAGTATTGTAGTGAATATAAAATCTTCCATAATTGATTTTTTTAACTGACTTGGTTTCATTAGGTACCAGTGTGTTATCCAAAAATTTTGGTATTAAATGTATACTGCAATTACACATTTCATAAGTTATTATTTGATATTTATGAGGAAAAAAATATTGCAAAGTTTAATAAATTGACAAACAGATCACCTTCACCATCTAAATAAGGTATTCACACAGTGCTGACTAACTAATGTCACACATAAATATAAGAATTTGTGATTCTTTCATTTTGTCATGTGTTTGTGTAAATTATGATATTTTTTAGTTGAAATTGACATTGCTCTTCTAGTGAATCTGAAATCTTAGATAATTGTAGAGTTTTCTTCTATAATCTTCAATAAACATTCTAGTGAATCTAAAATCTTCAATAATTGATTTTTTTGAACTGAGTTGGCTTCATTAAGGACCAACGTGTTATCCAAAAATTTTGGTATTAAATGTATGCTGCAATTACACATTTTACAGGTTATTATTTGATATTAATGAGAAAAAAATATTGCGAAATTTAACAAATTGGCAAACAGATTACCTTTACCACCTAAATAAGGTATTCACACAGTGCTGACTAACTAATGTCACACATAAATATAAGAATTTGTGATTCTTTCATTTTGTCATGTGTTTGTGTAAATTATGATATTTTTTAGTTGAAATTGACATTGGTTGAGCATTTTAGTGAATCTGAAATCTTGGATAATTATAAAATTTTCTTCTATAATGTCCAATAAGCATTCTAGTGAATCTAAAATCTTTCATAATTGATTTTTTGAACTGATTTGGCTTCATTAGGTATTAATGTGCTATCCAAAAATTTTAGTATTAAATGTATGCTGCAATTACACATTTCATTGGTTATTATTTGATATTTATGAGCAAAAAAAATATTGCAAAGTTTAACAAATTGGCAAACAGATCACCTTCACCATCTAAATAAGGTATTCACACAGTGCTGACTAACTAATTGTAACATCCCAAACCTGTTCCAAACATACATTACAAGATCTATCCTCCAATAGTTACCTACGATATTAAATCAAAAAAAAAAAAATGACGACAAATGGTTCAAGATAAACATAATTCATCCCTTTAATACATTCATCCCAACCTAGAGTCATTAGATTACATGCCTTTAAGACGAGTACTACTGCTATTACATGATCAAAATATAAAAAACTTCACATAAATACAACATATACAGTGATACAAAAGAAAAGCCATAAGTGATAGTTCAAATCCATCTAAGCTTGCAGAGGGATGTCTTCAACGACCTCCTTTCCATGATCTGAAAAAAATAAAATAATGATGGAGTGAGCACGACGGCTCAGTAGAAGTTGCCTAAAACGCACTCCTTAATGTTTTCGTGAATCCACACAAAGAATAGCTATAAGAAAAGGGATCATGTTTGTCTTGGAAAAATAATTAAATTAATTAAATACAGTGCAATGCAATATCTGAAATGTAATGTCACTCCCCGTTTTACAAAATTCCTATCCAACGCCTCAATTGTCAAACCGTTAATGTAACCCGACCCGAGGTAACTCCCCGGCACCACGAGAGAAGGATTGGATAACTATCTCTGACCTAAGGTAACTCCTTAGCGTCATTTGGGACCTAGTAACTCAATCACACGCAAGGCAACTTCTTACATCCCCTCTAGGTCCCATTAACGACACGGACACAAGGTAACTCCTTGTCGCCCGATTTTCACAAACTTTAGTTCAAAACATCTTCCAAAATCTGTTAGTATTCTTTCAAAAATTCCTCCTTTGCAATAATCCCTTTCACCCTTCAATGTCCAATGATATGCATGATTATACATACTATTCAATGTTATCACGCTATAAACTTTAAATATCAAATTTCAGTGGTATAATCATGCTTGAGTAACACATCAACATGGCAGTTCTGTCAGCACAACATGTCCAATCGTGTAGAAAAACAGTACCACTTCTAAGGTAATTTAGACATACATATATAACATGTACTAATTCTAACAGTCAAGCTACAACAATCAACACATTGGACATGTAATGATCAACCAAACACATAGTAGATAATCTGCATTAGGAAAGCTCCAGGCCAGCTTTCAAGTACGTAACATATACATGTAAAGAGGCTAAAAAAAAAAATTCAGTTTTTGAAACACATTATATACAGTAAAGGCTAGAGCACTGGGAACACAATTTCATTCCTAAAAACCAATTCAAGCAACAATTTCAAAGGATTGATTCCATAAAAGCAAAGCTTATGAGAGTTAGGACAACCCCTACCTCTACAAGAGTTGAAACCCAGCCAAAGGCCACTGATTGATTGTCTAAAACCACCAACAATTGAGAAAAGATGAAGAACAAAATACTCCTTTGTAGTACAGCAATGGCTTGAAAATTATTTGGATCGTCCTTACAGTCATGGTTGTTCTTTTACTTGTTCTTCTATATATATATATAGAGGTGTTTACTCTGAGGTTGGTTCTTCACCAACCAACCTTAGAGTAACATACTTCAAGACAGTACCAAACATGGTGCTTGTACCCTTGTTCTGTAAACCCCACCCACCCTTTCTGTTCTGCAATTCATATCTCTACATTTAGTATTTTACAGTCCCGTTGGGAAGATATATAGAAAAAGAGAGATTCTAAAATACACAACATTGAATATCCTAAAATAAAATCAAATTGCATCATGAAAGAGGCATTATAGGTTTAAATACTAAGATTAACTTGTGGCATATCTCACATTTATGTTCTTTGGACAAAACTGCATTCAGTGCCCCGGTAATAGACATAATAATGACCTGACAAGCAAAAAAAAAAAATTCAAAACTGAGATGATTATCATTTTCTTGGATTGAAATTAAAACTAACATGATTATCCTGTTCTTGGATATAATTTAGCAGCTATATTCCAAACGTCATAACTAACTAAAATTTTTTAAATTATATAGAGGCGATAACTAAGACAAAGTCAAATCAATACTCTCGAATGATGAAATATATGGGACTGGACCGGACAAACACACTTCACATTTCACGGACACAAAACTAATCTAATACACAGAAGATAGAACAAACTAATAATTGCACAACGATAGAATTTTTTTATATTTTATTTTAATAATTAAACACAACATTTAGAGATAAAAAGAGAACCAAAGTAAAATTGATAGGAAGACTAAGAAAAATGAAACACTTAGGATTCTGCAATATATTTTGAATAACATCAGTTATTGTACAAAGAAAATTAAATAAATAAAATTGGTCACTTAAATCAAAGTTCCCAGATATCTCTTCGTGTTGTCATGGGGGTTCCATTAGTTCAACTGAATTATTCTTCAAAAAATTTCACCCAAAACTCTAATCTCCAAGTTTTGTGGGCCTGTGTTGGGTGTATGTTCTTACCTGTGTATGTATAAAGTAAGTAGAGACTTCCACCCACAAGGAGGTCAAATGAAGGATCAAGAAACTCTAATTGTAACAAGAGTATATTTTTACAATAAATAGCTGCACTTCAGTAACATTGATCAAACATAACTCACAAGCTAGTAATAATTAAACACAAAAAGCAATTAACATTAGACACGAAAAAAAATGCTAAAAATTCATATAAGTTTGATAAGTTACGAGCATAACATGCTTGTCTATTGCTATTTCAAATAACTATCTTTACCAAAAATTTCAACTAACACCAAAAAAGTAGCAGAAAAGCCCCACACTTGATATGCTTTGAGTGAATGATCAGCTGCCTCTTTCCTCTCCTCACCTCACCAGACTTAAATTTAGCCAATACCAATAATAATAATCCCCTTCCTGCATGCAGCTAACCCCAAATCAAAACCCTAAACTACATGCAACATTTTTTTTTTTTTTTTTTGAAACACATTTAAGCAATATACTCACATCTTGTAGAAGAACACCGTCGATTCATCAGTAGGCTGGATAACTCCGATTCAACCTTTTATCAATTCATTACCTCCCGCATCCTCCTTTTGCTCTATCGAAGAAAAAATACGCCTCGAAGCGCTCCGAGCTCCAATCGTATTCTGGTACCGAGCAAATTCCTCTCCTCAATAGTCAATTCGACATCTACCTTTGCCTCTTTCTTCACGGAATCGTGTGCGAGAGTACAATAGTAAAAGATGAAAGCCCAAAATTAAATCTTGCTTATCCTATTCCTCCTGTGTATAAAACCCAAATCGCGTGTGAGAATGAGGAGGCCCCGGACGACATGGGCCAGATCCGACTCGCAAACACAACATTCAGTTCGTATAGCTGGGTCGGCCCATATAAAGACACTGCCATATGGGCCGAACGGGAAGAAGCCCATCAAAGGTGACCAGGGCTTATGGAGGAATAGGCCCAGATCCAGCAATCAGTAAATATCTTGAAAATATCTTGTAAATATCTGGTAAATATCTATAAATAGGATATGGAATGGAAAGGAGGGGGATCTTTTTGGGTTGAGGTGTAAGAATTCTAGAGAGAGAAGGAGGAGAAGGAATTTCTTGCATCTTCAATTGGCGCCGTCTGTGGGAAACGCATAAAAGTTTGGTTGATCAATGAGGAATATCGAATGGATTCAAACCAATTCGGTTGATCGAGACTCGATCTTTGGGATTTGAATCCAGATCTGAGCGATTGTGACCTACTCTGGAGGAATTACAATTCTTGAAGCTTTGGCAGGAGTGACTTCAGATCTACGCAACAACGAGTTGTTCGATTGTGGCAGGATCTGACGGATTTAGAGTTCAGACAATTCAGATCTCGTAAACAGTGAGCATAATTCGGAGAATTAGAAGCCAGATCTAAAAATTCCTACTCACGAAGCTCGGATCTACTCGCGAACTTGAGATTAATGCCTTTACTCCGTTCGGGAATAATGATAGGTGAAAGCTCCAATCCGATGGAGGCTGTCCAGCAAACAAAGCTTGAGGAGTTGATGAACTTGATTGAAGCTCTCAAAAAAGAGAATGCAGAATTGAAAGCTGGACTGCAACATCGGCAAATACCTGCGGTTTCGCATCCACTTCCAGTCGGAGAAGGAGGTGTTCAATCTAATATCGCGCATCAAGGCGAACAGGACGAGAACAATCAGTCAGCTCACCACCGTGATGAAAGGATAATGGACAATTTGCCGCCATATGTTCGTCGAGTTGAAGATCACGAAGGATCGACTCACGTTGATCCGCAGCGGGAAAGGTTCGACCGAGAGGAAGTGATGGAGGCTGATCGCCGTCGAATAGCGTCGCCTTGGCAAAGAGAGTTCATAGAGGAGCGGTCGTTCGATCCGTCTTACCGGCCCTCCATGGTTACTATCACTCATCACGGTTCGGAGGGCAGAACCGTAACTCACAGAGCTACCGCTGGACTCCAGAGAGAGAATGAAGCTCTCCGATCCGCAGCTCGGACGGTGGATTCACCATTCACCGACGAGATCTTGAATGCCCCGCATCCAAGGAAGTTTGCTATGCCAGTCTTTATTCTGTTCGACGGAACGACCGATCCGATCGATCATGTGTATCATATCCAGTTGAAAATGGCCCTGAATACGGAAAACGACTCTTTAATGTGCAAATGTTTCCCTACAAGCCTGGCCGGACCGGCGCTCAGCTGGTTCAAAAACTTGCCTAGGAGCTCCATTGGTAGTTTCAGAGACCTGTGCGATCGGTTCATAAGCCAGTACTATGGGAACAAACGTCCGCCGAAGGACATCTCGAGCCTATTCACGATGAGGCAGCACAAGGATGAACGTCTCCAGGCCTTTCTTACCAGGTTTAATCTCACTAAGAGTATGGTGATCGAATGCCACCCTTCTACGGCAGTTCAAGCCTTCAAGTTAGCCATGACACGCGGAACTCCGTTTCACACCAGTCTGGTAGTGAACACGCCGACTACTATGGATGAACTCAATGAGAGAGCTGATGGCTTTGTGCGCCTAGAAGAAGAGGAGGCAGCTAATGCTCGGACAACGTCGCTTGTGTCGACCGAGGAAAAGTCCAAGGCAAAGATCAGGCAGAAGCAGGCTCAGCCGCAGCGTCAGACCTCTTGGAAGGCAGAAAAAAGGTCCAGGGAGGAAGAGTTGATTACTCCGCTGAAGGTCACTCTGGCGAGGCTGTATCAGGAGAACAAAGACAAGTTTCATCCACCACTGCCAATTAGGCAACCCCTTGAACAGAGGGATCAAACTAAACATTGTGCTTTTCATTCTGATTTCGGTCATCAGACTAACGAATGCAGGAACTTGAGGAGGCAAGTGGAGATGTTGATAGCTAGAGGGGAGTTCGCGAGTTATGTTCAAGGTTCGGCAATGGAGCAGAATCGACCGGTGGAACAAATAAAAAGGAGTCATAAACAAAGCTCCCACAATTCACAACCAGTTCGTATAATCAATGCTATCCATGGTCGACCCGAGCCTAGTGAAGAGTCAGATGAGCTGCTCCGGGTGCGCCTGCGGCAGGCGCAAATGAAGAAAAGGGTCGGCAATGTGACTACTCTACACCAGCAGAGCCCGTCGATGCAGATAAAGTTCGACTGGACAGACCTGCAGCGTGTTCAACTGCCTCATGACGACCCGTTGGTAGTCAGTTTGACAGTGGCAGATTGCTTGGTGCGCAGAGTTCTGATCGATCCTGGGAGCAGTGCGAATGTCATGCCAAGGGACACATTTGACAGGCTCGACATTAAACTAGAGAGACTCAAGCCCACCGGAAATCCCTTGTTAGGGTTCGATGGGAAGAGGGTGGAACCCGTCGGGATGGTGGAAGTGGAAGTTCAAGCTGCAGAACGAGCTCTTATGGAAACTTTTGTGGTTGTGGAAATTCACCCCTCGTATAATCTCCTGATGGGAAGAGGATGGATTCACAGAGTCCGAGGTGTACCCTCAACTCTGCATCAGGTCATGAGGTGCCTCGGGCCCGATGGAGATAAAGTGATAGACATTCGGGGGGATCAGGTCGCAGCCAAGGAGTGTTATTCCGTCACACTAAAGCATGCTGGGAAAGGAAAGGCGCCCGTCCGTTCGGCAAGCCCCAGATAGCAATTACAGGAACCTCCGCTCGAGCAGAATAGGGTGGAGGAGTCAGTCGAATTGACCGAGGAGCCCCTTCTGGATGTGCAGATCGATCAGTCCAGGCCAGAACGAACTACCAGAGTAGGTATAAGACTGACCAGAGAAGAGCAGCAAGAGCTAGTGGATTTCTTGTCCCGCAATGCCGACGTATTTGCATGGAGTCACCTAGACATGCCTGGAATTAGTCCCTCCGTATCCTGTCATTCCCTGAATGTCAACCCCAATTTCAAACCAGTGAAACAGAAGCAGCGAAGATTTGCTCCAGAACGTAATCAGATCATAGCGGAAGAAGTCGATAGGCTGCTTGATGCGGGATTTATCAGAGAGGTGCACTACCCTGAGTGGTTGTCCAACGTCGTTGTTGTGCAGAAGAAGAATGGGAAATGGCGAGTATGCATTGATTTCACCAATTTGAACAAAGCCTGTCCGAAGGACAGCTTCCCGTTGCCTAAGATTGATCAAATGGTGGATGCCACCACTGGGTATGAGCGTTTAACCTTTCTGGACGCATATTCAGGTTATAATCAGATTCCTATGGACCCCGCAGATGAAGAAAAAACTTCTTTTGTCACCGAGCGAGGAACATACTGCTACAAAGTTATGCCTTTCGGGCTAAAGAATGCGGGAGCAACTTATCAAAGACTTGTTAGCAAAGTTTTTAAGAATCAAATGGGTAAGATTGTGGAAGCCTATATTGATGATATGGTGGTAAAGAGTAGGAAAAAGGATGATCATCTGAAGCATCTGCAAGATGTATTTGATGTACTAAAGCGATATGGGATGAGGCTCAATCCGACCAAGTGCTCGTTCGGTGTGAGTTCCGGACAGTTTCTGGGACACGTGGTCAACCGCAGGGGCATCGAAGTTAGCCCCGCTCAAGCAGAGGCTTTGATTAAGAATGCCGAGCCAAAGACGATCAGAGAGGTGCAAGCCCTCACAGGACGAGTAGCTGCATTAAGTCGATTTATTTCAAAATTGTCAGATCACTGCAAACCATTCTTTGACACGATTCGGAACCATGGAAGGCAGGTCTGGGGGGATGAGCAATGACAAGCATTGACTCATTTGAAGGAATATATGCAGAATCCACCAGTCCTGTCAGCCCCAGAACCGGAAGAAAAGTTATTTCTATATCTTGGAGTATCTGGTGTCGCGACGAGTGCCGTTCTGATTCGTTGCAAGGAAGGGGTGCAATACCCGGTATTTTATGTAAGCAAAACACTGACGGAGGCAGAAAGAAGATACTCAAAGGCCGAACGGGTGGTACTTGCCCTTGTAAATGCAAAAAGAAAGTTGAGGCATTATTTCGAATCCCACCCCATAGCTGTTCTAACAACTTTCCCAATCAGAACGCTTATGCACAAGCCAGAGCTCTCGGGCAGAATGACAAAGTGGGCCATAGAGTTGAGTTCATTTGACATAACGTATGAGCCGAGAACAGCTGTTAAGGGGCAAGCGGTAGCCGATTTCCTACTAGAATGTGACACCGAAGATACGGAAGAGGACCTTAGATGCGGCTCTTGGAAACTTTTTGTGGATGGCTCCTCTAACCAGATGGGGGCTGGGATTGGGATCAAACTGCAAACCCCAGAGGGTACTTCCTTGAGCCAAGCACTCAGACTTGAATTCCGAGCCACCAATAATGAAGCGGAATACGATGCGTTGCTAAATGGATTAAAGTTGGCCAGAGAGCTACAGATCAAAAGTTTGACAGTGTATAGTGACTCGCAGCTGATTGTTCGACAGGTAAATGGTGAGTACGCGACCAAGGATGACACGATGGGGGCATATCGTTCTGCCGTTCTGCATAGAGCCAAGGACTTTGCAAATATCGAATTCATACAGCTCCCGAGGGAACAGAATGCAGATGCAGACCGTTTAGCATGCAGTGCTTCGAGTTGCGGTGAAACATTGGCGAGGGTGATTCCAGTAGGAATAGTGACCCAGCCCTCTATTTTCGAAGAACCGTTGGACTCTGACCCTTGGCAAGTCAACATCATACCGTATGAACCGAGTTAGATTGACCCCATCATTACCTATATTCGAGATGGCGTTTTGCCTATGCAAAGGGATGAAGCTAGGAGACTCAAAAAGAATGCTGCCAAGTACGCCATCGTGCGGAACCAGCTGTACA